ATACGCTAAATCAGCAACAGGCTATCAATAATTTGATTGTGGAATGTCATACTAAGACCTGCATTGGCCAAAATGAATGTCATAGTGTAATCCGTCTGCTGAGGGACATGAAAAGAAGCAGGCAGTTGGCCCTCTCAACTCTTCAAGCGCGCAGTTGTCTTCGCTGAGTGTATACCCGTCTGGTAAATTCACAACTAAAAAAGCAGATGCGAGCGTCGCAAACGTAGCAATAAGGGAAACAATGGTAAACCGCATTGTTAGAGTAGTATTCCGCGTGATTCACTAGATGATTGGAGAGTTGCGTCGAATTGGATGTGATGTTGTGACAAGGCACCAAGATGGTTCGCGGTGAATGAGAGCCAGAGAGAGAGAAGACCGTTATAAATAGTATGCAATCGTTGATGCATGTGACACGGTTCACGATAGTTTATAGGAGAGTATTCCTTCCAAATATACGAGATTCCGATTTGTGTTTCCGCCAATCGGTAGTGAACGTCACAGAAACGGGAGAGACATCAGCTTACTGCAAACTATACTGACCCGCGATTTGTCCGTGTGTAGGTTCGAAGAAGTGTAGGTGCTTCCGCATCGAATTCAGTGGCGTCGCACATGTCAATCTTGTTTGATTAAGCTTTTTAAATTGCTTGCTTCATTGATCCTTGGTGGGAAGGATTTCAAGACTTTGCGTACGGGTGTTGGGCACCTGTAACAGCGCTCTGAACCAGAAGTCGTGGTAAATTCGATTACCGTAAAGAAAATAGGATAAGATTAGGGACGGGCGAGCTAATATTTATGCATATATATTAACTGGGGGGATCTCGATGTCAAGTAAGTAAGCATGATATGTGGAGAAAGAAACTTTAGCAAACTGCGAACACATGTGCTATATTGAGGAGTTCACATAAAGATGAGGGCTTGAGAACTATTCACGCATTCATATAAAATGGTTTGTATTTTGCTAATCAGTCTGTCGCAAACAGGACATGTTCTAACCGACATTGTCTCCATTGAAAATGGCTTACATTAGATCCATCAACAGGGATTTTGCTCGCGCCAATATGGCCAAACTTTATTTCAATGCGGATGGATTTCACTTCCATTTAATTGGTATTATCAAAACGTACGCATTAGGGACATAATGGGATAATTTACTAAGTATTGAGACCGTTCTCTCCGCTACATGCTTGTTCTCTCAATTTGCAACTACGACGCATCCTTTGTAGCTTCAGCTGCATATTGCAACTACAATCAGTACTGAAAGGAATTTTTGTGTAGGAAGAAATGCGATCTCACTGTTGTCTTGCTGCTTAGTAGGAGCTGTGGTTCCTCGGTTCGTTTACTTGTTCGCTGCCCTGGTGTCATCGCAAAGGAATGAAGGCTGTTTGAGTGATATGTGTGTGTAATTACTAGTAAGCCGCCGAGTGTGACGGCAGATAGAGGCACGAACGTGGCCGCAGTCAACTCAAAAGATACTAGTTTTAAAGCAACGATTGTAAAATTCATAGTTTAACGGATCTGCAATGGGTATACACATGAATCAAGAATCGAGTTGTTGCTTACGAGGTGAATTTCCCTAAGAGTATGTTAACATCAGTCCCAAAGAAGTGGTTGGCACGTGTAAAGCTAGAAGAAACAGGGCCTCACGCGTAGTGATTACAACACGACGGGCCTAGTGCTGCTTCATTTTCTTAAATGAGGTTAGTGTCACTCAGGGAAAGTTACATTATTATAAGTCTCCCGTCAAAGAAGCTGCATGTCCGGTATGTGGGACCGTTCATCATGACGCGGGTGATCGCGAAGCTAGCGTACGCACTTTATCGCAACATCGTCGATATTTTGCATACACCTGGTGTCCAAGATCGTACTCCTCAATCACCGAAAGAAGCCATTCATATTCAGCGCTTTCGACAAGAACCTGTTTAGATCAAAGATGACGTGTCGTGACGAGAAAAATATGTACGAAGTCAACAAAATTCTAGCGCACACAGGGATTGTATAGGAAAGCGAAGAGTTAACATCAAATTACGGGTTTTATTAACAGAGACTACGCAGGAACCAGGAAACACTTAAGACCTTCATATTTAGGCTCTGTAGCTATGCCAAAGACGGAAAAGCGGACACCAACATTTGCACAACGAAGGGCATGAAACAAAGGAAGCTAGAGTGAGCACGGGACTTGGTCGGGAATATGCTCGTATAAACGAAAATACCTTTGAAGCGTGCGATTTCTAGAAAAGTCTTCTTCGAGTGATGGTAAAATCTATCACAAGTTTTAGAAATAATAGCACAGTAGGCGAGTGGACTGGTGTGTAACGACCCTGCTGGCTAAAGTTTTGAGTCGAGACGAGACTCCAAAAAGGAGTAAGCTAATGTCACGATGCTCGTCACGGTACTATGCATCAGAGCCATCAGACCAGATGAGTTCCTTCCCCGCATACCTATCACTCTGGATCAGTAATAGACATGTGCGTTGACGTTAACGCACACATTGCTCTTCACACACGCTTGATGGCTCCCAATAATTTGTTTCAACGCAACGAACCCCGATTTCTCATGGCTTTTCGATACCTCCGACAACAAAGCCCAAAGTTACCGCTGAATCGGTACTATTCTGGGCTGGACTTGGCCCCTGATGGGCTTCTGTTGAGGAGCTCGATAATAGAGATCCGCGAAACTCGTGCTAGTGAAGCGAGAAATAAGTAAATAAGTCGGAGCAAGTGCCCGTACCTAACCATTTCTTTCTCGGCATCAGAGATCGCCAAGACACTCCGCTTTCATGTGTTCTTCTTCCCGAAAATGCAAAAAAGACAACAAACTTTGTTGGTCCTTTGATCGTTCACTTGGCCCTACTCGTAAGTGATGTAAGGAAAGGAATCTTCCGTACCAAGAGTCTCTGAATTTTCCCCGATTTTACTTATTCTATGCAACGAATGATAGCACCGCAAACCCTCTATACAAGTTTTGCTTCCTTGTTTTCCTGCTGTATGTTCCGGAGATGCTATACGTACAAGTCATGGAAAAGCGTTTTAGATTATTTACATAATCGCGTCATAGTATCCAGCCATGAAATGTAGAGAAAATGTCTTGGCGATGCTGCGATGCAGCAAAACATCATGAACCATGTGGTGATGCTGATCAGCCAGCGTCACCCCGATCCCAAAGCTCAAACGTTTTTTGGGTCTACGCTTTGGCGTATCCAATTACTCCGGGCTAGTGAAATCATCGTGCACGTTCGATATCAACTCTGGGAATGGCACAATGGTGAATACTATATAGATATCTTAGAGATAAGCACAATGTTCAAAGGTTTCAAAGCATCCTTCAACATTACCTTCTCATCACCTAGTTTATAATACATATACCCATTAACGCATTTTATCCAGTATCTTCTTCTACACAATCCATTTTGAAAAGAACTACTTTACACATACCCAAAAATGTCTCAGACTTTGGTTTCCACAGCACCAGTCCAGGTTGGACTCCAACCCTTCTCACGGCCTTCCCTACCCGTGGAAGAGCACACTGTTCGGATCCCACAGCCTTCCAGCAACGACTTGATCAAGGCTGCGCTCAACGAGGGCATCAAAAAGGGACAGCAGATCGACGAGACAGTCGCTGCCATCATGGATATCCTTGAGACGTTCAGTCTTCAGCAGTATGGCAACGACGTTTTCATGGGAAGGCAGGTCTTCGGGCCAAAAATCCACTTGCATGTGTCTGAGCACAGGAAGCTCCCTATGGTTCTTCCAGCCTTCCCGGCCAAAAGCATCAACACACAAGACAAGGTTCTTGGCACTAGCCCTGACCTTGGAGAAGAGCTTGCTTTGGATCGATTGAACGATTTGTGCACCCGAATCAGTCGCGTCTATGAGCCTGGTGCCATGGTTCTTATTGCGACTGATGGTGCTTGTTATAATGGTGAGCAAATATCCGTGATCGAAAAAGCACTAGCTGACGAAATAAGACCTTACAGGTGTTACGGAGGATAGCTTATGGGAGTACGGAGTTACTCTGCGCAAGATGGTGGCAGAGAAAGGCTACGACTGCATCAAGTTCGTCCGCATCATGAACCTCTTGGGATTGCACACGGATGAGCAAATCTCCAAGGAGGACTTTGTCCATCTTCTTGAGCCTTCCCGTCGCATCATGATGACCCGCTATGGCGATTCTGAGTTCGATGCGAATTGGTACATCCAGAACGACCCGGATTACAAGTCGACCTATGATGGCTACTCCAAGTTTCTGAAGAAGGATCTTGCATTTAGTCCTTTCAAACAGAATGCGGCTAGTGGGAAGAAGTGGAAGGCTCTGGTACATAATACGGCCAAAGCAATGATTGCTCGTGGTGTGGTACGAAACAACCTCCGTATCGATCCATGTTGTGCATGCTAACACGAAACTCTAGGCTTTTGCAGCCCTGATCCGTGAGAGATATCCCGACTACGTCCGTCTCTCCATTCACCCTTCGACTGGACTCACAAAGATTTCCATGCCGATGATACCCCAACCCGACTCCTTCTCCATGACCCCATGGCACTGCGCAGTGGCTGTGGATGTGAACGGAAATTTCAAGACAGCACATGCGGGAGTCCTGCGGGAGACTCATGACCTGGTGTTGAAAGACGGTGTGCCGTACTGCTTCCGCGAGCGATTCCCATTGTATTCATGGGATGCCAAAGTAGAGTTCACCCATCTTTACGGCGGTGGGATGATTGTGCGAAATATTGGAGGAAATTCCAATAATTCTTTGTCAGATGCTGACCAGGAGAAACTTGCTACCTTGGAGAGTCTCCAAGGAAATGTGACCTTGGAGGGATTCTGAAAGTCGGTATCAGGCTGGGGTTGTTGTTTGTTGATGAAAAGTCCTTCTATTAGTTCATTGTGCATAACATACTTAACAAAAGTAATTTGTAACTCTTTTGAAGATCGTTCCCATGAATATCTACTTTGAATCACATCCTGATCTCAGAATTGACATATCATTGGCTCTGACTATTTATTTACCTTTTTTGCAGTATCTCCCCGCCGTCGACAAGACTTGCTCCGACTTCTGAAGCCTTTAGCACACCTGCATGATAAAGCTTTGCAACCAAATTCAATAATGTAGCATCGCATCCTTTGGCAACCATCAAGTTTATCGACACAGGTAATTGTTCCGTATGGTTTGTTGTTGTAGAGTGGTAAGACATCTGACCAACTGCATCATGCTCATTAGCGGAACTATTCAAGCTAGTCATAATCATCTGATCGAACTACTTACTTGGAATAGTTATGTCGGGTACCTCGGCCATGACGCTAAAGTACTGGTTCGTGAACCCTGAGGGCGCTTGTGGTGGGCTCCTGTAGGTGCTTCTATATTGAACAATTGGCGCACTAATGTAGGCCAGCACCGCCGATGTACAGCTGCGGCGATCCTCCTTGAGTACATGGTCCTGGAACCATACCATGAACATGGTTTTGTTCGTGATTGCATCAGCCAATGTCGTCGAAGGCTGCGCATCTCCAAAAGCCCATCGCGCCAATGGAACTGGGTTTACGGCGGGCAGCCTTCCGTCATGCATAGATGCGTACTTGGCGTAGAAGGGGTCGCGTACTAATGCCGTTTGACGTTGGCTAATAATTGTTGCGTAAACATTTCCTAGCAATGGTTGTATATCTATCGGTGCGGACTGGGGTCGAGACTGCTGCCAGGCAGTTGTTACGTTGAACCACTCGGTCTTCTCGATGCCAAGAACTTTCTTCATCGCATCGAGAAATCGGTCGATAATCGTGGTTGTCTCATTCGATAATCCGGCCGGAAACGGTTCGACTAGCAATTGAGTTGGGAGAAAATCCTGAAAGCTGTTGCGGGACAGCCTGTATGTCTCAGTAGCTGCGTACTGGAGAAGCAACGGATCCCTTGCAATAAGCCCAGCGGTGTCTAGTTCAGGAGCAAGTGGGAGTGCAAGTTGTAAGGGCGCGGCGCCGTGTGATGGCCTCAATCCGTAAAGGCCGCTGGATCGAGCAGGACCGCGAATGCTACCGCCTGTATCTGATCCCAATGCAAAATCCAACCATTCATACGATGCAACACTAGCACCGGCTCCCGCGGAAGAGAAGTTGGGATCCTGGTAGCCGTCACCGCGCGGATTGAAAGGTGAGTGATAATCAACCCAATCTGAAGTTGAGTACTCTCCGTTGGCAAACTGAGCAGTCTTTTGCTTACCAACAATAATTGCACCTGCATCTAGCAACCGCTGTACCACAGGTGCTGTTGCATTGGCTGGAGGATATAGGTTGTACCATGCTCTGTTACCGTTGCCAGTTTTTATGCCAGTTACGTCAAAAATGTCTTTGATACCAATACGCACGCCAGCAAGCGGGGTAGTCAGTGTCCGCGTGTAGTAAAGCCTAGAGGGAACAGCAATTGTGAGACTATTCCCTGTTGTATGCGCAGGAAGAACAGAATGCTCTCCAGAAGGATTGGTATATATAGATTCAGTGAAAGCTTCTTGGTGGTCAGAATAAAGTCTGTAAGCCCGATGAATACTACCCTGAGACGACAGGAAGTAAGGGCCCCGAGGAAAAGTCTCATTCATCTTTTCTGGAGCAAATAAAACAGTTGTGTTGCCCCAAGTTTGCATGGAATTTGCCCAGGGATCTCCACGTCTCCGATCAGTTGCTTGAATATAAACCACTAAGGACCTTTTAGTACATTTTGGAAAATGGAAGAAAATAATTTAAGGACTTCGTACGCTTGGCAAAGCCTTCGCTCCAAACATCGTCGTTTTTCCCAAAGTCGGAGAGTTCACGCTCAAGAGACTCATCCGAATAGGCATCAGTACTGGGAGATACTACGGTTATTGGGACAAAAGTTTTCAAAGCAAGCCCATCCAACCCGAAGAATGAAGTTGTAAAATTGTTTTGAAGAGATCCGATTGCATGTGGCGGAATCCAGTAAGGAATGTCATTGAGATATGCAGTAGTGCCAGTGATTTGAAGAGCTTGTTCCAATGACGAAACAGTAGCGACGAGGGCTAGCCAAGAAACTGGGGATCTGGAAGCCATAATCTACGATGAAAGACACTGAAGTGAAGATGGGTGTGCGATTCTTTTAGGATCCTTACGTCCAATAAACCAGACAAAGTAATGCGCTCTGTCAGTGCACTGCATTAACGGGAGAGCGGGACTACGTAAAAAGCAAGAGTCAAAGTCACAGAATCGTAACCCAAGCGCATAAACGTGTTCTGATGAACATAGAGCCTTTTTTAATGTAGGGAAAGGCTCCTCTTCTAAGATTTGTATGAACAAAAGCAAGATCAAATGGATACAGCAGATATGTAATATCTCAGCTATACTTCCGCCATATTTTGACTATATGGTGCCGGAGGATACTAAGCTGGTAATCTGGAAAGCCATTTTTCAACCACACTTCCCCGAAGCGCACGGGAAATTGTATAAATGATAAGAACCATTCTTAAAGTGCTAACAACCAAAGTCACATGTGGTCACCCGTAACGCATAGCAAAGAATATAGGAGTGAAATACTTAGCGGTGATAAATGCCCGAGGGGGTTAGTTCACATTCTGAGCAAGTCTCAATACAGCCATCATACTGAAACAACCTGCATCGTTTCATCACCGATCCCAAACTGGCCTTTTACACCACGAGTAGAATGCACAGTGTGCACTAGACCTTATCAGGGCAACCTTAAATTTTAGCCCATCACGCTCGGAACATCCCGGCTGCAGCATGTTTGCTTCTTTTTGTTGAGGGGAATGCGCACATGACGTCTGGCACAGTGCGCGCATGATCTCAACGAAAAGAGAATGAACTTTATACATCATCACGGTACGATCATCTCGATGCCGTAGATTTTCGTCTTTGTGTTAGAGTGGTAAGCACCGGATGCAAAGCTTGGTTCGGCGTCATATCCCGTTCAGCGTTTAACTCAGTAGTGTATCGATCGCCCAAGCATGCGGATCATCCAAGTTTGCGTCCATGTACCCAAAACTACTGTTTTTTGGGTAATATGGCTCGTACAAGTGATATGCCACGGCCTCCACGTTTAGTCTTTTACCGAATCGAGATATCAATCTCTTTGCATTAAGATAGCGTGAACCATTCCCCACTACTACATGTTTGATTACGATCGATATTTGATCGCCCAAGTCATCTAAGGGAATATTTGATATACTTTTTGAGTGGTCCATCAACCAACTTCACTTGTAATTATTCGCATCTAGCAAACTACAATGGGTATTCATTTCGCATCCGGTGGTTAGAACTTGACTAATCTACAATGTTCAGACAACCAGACAATGGAGAAAACATCTTCGCAAGATCGATCACCGTCCCCTGAAGACCCAAAGCATGAAGAAATCCCAGATGGAGGCCTTTTGGCGTGGACGCAAGTCATCATGGGCCACTTGGTCATCTTCAATTGCTGGGGATACATTACATCGTGAGTTTTCCCGAGGCTTAAACAAAATTTTTAATCATACTTGACTCTAAACGCGCATTCAGCTTCGGCTTCTTCCAGCAATACTATGTTGAAAACCTGGGTATATCATCGTCAGACTCTGCCTGGATTGGCGGTTTACAGATGTTTCTGCTGAATTTCGTCGGCGTTTTCTCCGGAAGGACAGTCGACATGGGGTATTTCAGACAAACCCTCCTTCTCGGATGCACACTGCAAGCCTTGGGTATCTTCATGACTGCCCTATCAACAAAATACTGGCAACTGTTTCTCGCACAAGGCCTCTGTAGCGGTCTTGGACACGGCTTTTTGTTTGCACCAATCGTATCCATCCTGCCGACGTATTTCAAGAAGCACAGAGCAGTTGCTGTTTCTCTGGCCACTTGCGGAGCCTCGACGGGCGGTATGGTATTCCCGCTCATCGCCTACTCTTGCCTCAACCGCGTAGGGTTTCGATGGACCGTCCTGATTATGTCCTTTGTTGTAACCTTCAATGCTGCTATGATTCTCAGCTTTACCAAGACACGTGTTCCGGTCCGTAAACCGCGTTCAATTCTTGATACGCGGGCATTTAAGGAAACATCGTTCACTCTATTTACGATAGGCTCGTTTCTCGCTCTATGGGGTTTGTATTTCGCCTACTTCTATGTGAGTTTTCTTCCTTCTGCGGTACAAAATGATATGCTAATAGACTAATGTGACCAGATTGGTGTATACGGGCGAACAATACTCAAATTCTCTCAGACGCAATCTTTGTTGTTTATTGTTGTCATGAACGGTGTGGGATTGCTTGGCCGGGTCATTCCAGCCTTTCTAGCTGATCGATACTTTGGAATACTGAGGACGCTTATCCCCGTGGCTGGAATTAGTGGATTGCTACTATTTGGTTGGGCAGGTGTATCTTCTACTGAGGGGCTGTTTGGATGGGCTGTCGTCTACGGCATTGCGGCCAATGCTACCCAGAGTCTCTTTCCAGCAGCAACTGGAGACTTAAGTACCGATCCAACAAGAGTGGGCACCAAGGTTGGCATGGTTTTTGGCATCGTGAGTATATCCTGTCTCACAGGGCCACCTATTGGAGCACGACTTGTTGCGATTCATGATGGGAACTTTTTATATGCTCAGTTGTTTGGAGGCGCCACACTATTGGCGGGGTGCTTAGCCTACGTGTTAGCAGCCATAACGAAGCCAAAACCGAGCCCGAATTAGTTTTCAGAGCTGTAAACTTCCAAAAAATAACCCTTAAAGGGATCTTTTACACCATTGCGATCTATTATAACTACGGTTTCTTTGCTCATATCATTATGGAAGACTAACTCCATCAGTACAAACGTCACCTTGCTCCAGACCTTTTATGTTCCTTCTGGGCAAACCGCAACCTCATTTTTCAATAAATTATTATAGCTGTGGCTCAAAAGTGCCCATAAGTGAGTCGTTTCCTTCACAATGTGCATTGCCGTTGTCAAAGCTTTCCGTTTCTTCTTTTTCAAAAAGTAAAAAAACCAATAAATCATAAACTTCTTCAGCATCCAACGTGACTCGAGTTCGTATCCCCAAACTTACTTATTTTGGTGTTTGTTTTACACACTCTTCTGGCGACGTTGTCGCATTGAGCCTTACTTGATGGGGCATAGCACCTTGGCTCAGCATGCTGTACTTAGGCCAGCTGTCGCTGCCCCGCCACCATGATTATCGATTGTACAATGCTTGTTTTGACTTGCTGGCTCTCCTTGGGTTGTATATCGAGGCTCAACGAACGAGCGGGTCCTTAAAGTATCCTTGATAGAAAACAGCGAATAGGTTCTCCTACGCCATCTTTCCTCCCTCATCTTTCAAAGATCCCTTGTTAGATCCATATATAAACAAACTGGTTCGCCATATCCTTTCAAAATCCTCCAGCCATGGCTAGTGGTGGATCATTAGATATCGATGCAGTTCTCGCTGTTCTTCGACGCTTCTCTCAACTAGAAGGACAGAAGCAACCAAACGAAATGCATGGCTACGGAACTGTTGCTGCTTCCAAGATTGAACTCAGTTATTCATCTAGGAGTCCCATCCCATTACTCTTGCCCGCTGCCCCATTCAAGAACTCCTCCCCGTTGAAAGTTCTGGATACAAAAAACCCGGATTTTGCGGAAGAGTTGGGTTTGGCAAGACTCGATCATCTCTGCAATGAGTTAGCGAAGGTGTATCGTTATGGCGCGGAGCTGACCATAGTATCCGATGGTCCTGTCTACAACGGTGAGCTATACTCGATGGGTAATGTGTGCATTGTACTAATCCCTCCTTGTTAGATCTGCTATGTATACCTGGTTCTGATTTCTATGATTACGGTGTCAAACTACGAAAGATTGCAGCAGATCAAGGATTCACGCGCATCCGATTTAGACGCCTGGCAGACGTACTCGGAATTGCTGATGGAGATTCCCTACCCAAGGATGAATATATAGCCTTGGCTGATACTTGCCGAGCCGAAATGGAGGCCAGATTCCTACCCGATCAGGCAGAGATTAAGGAAAAGATTGAAACCCACAAAGACACAAACCTCACGTACCAAGCATACGTCAAGCTCACGGATGAGGATTTGCGATGGGGTCCAGATCTTGATCCAGAAATCAAGAACAATAAGGAGAGATACACTGAGGAGACTAGAAAAATTGCAGTCAAGATGACTGAGCGCCTACTTGTGAGTTTGTATCCTTGCTAGATTCAAGTTTTGGTCTCACATTGTATCCTCTAGGCTTATGAAAGAGCCTTGGAAGCCGCCTTTCCTGATCATGTCAGGCTTTCTATCCATCGATCCACGGGCGAATCCAAGATCCCAGTTCCTTTGATACCTCAACTGGATGGGTTTGGACTCCAACCTTGGCATTGTTGTGTTGTAGTAACAGCTCAAGGGCGGTACATAACTGGCCACTTCAAAGATTACCAACACAACGACAACTACGAAGTCATTCAAAAGGATGGAAGACCTTTTCTCGTACGGGAGAAGAATGAAGACTTCAACTGGCCCGAGCATATCAAGCTACATCACACATATGGAGGCAAAGTGATTGTAGAGAACACGCTGTTAGAAGATATGGAATTCACTACAGAGTGGAAAGTGAAGCTTGCTAATCTCACACTGAGATTCAAAAATGTAGAAGTACGAGGGTTTCAAATCTAAGGCACTTTTACAGGCTTGCTATAAGCGATGAGCTGTTTATTATAGTCAGTGAAATAACGTAGCTCACCAGTGTATTTGCCACCTCGCCAACGCGTCTAGCCTCCGCGGTTACAGGATCGTGACAAGATGAATGCGCATCACCAGCAATATAATGGTATTACGCATCACTAGTATAAATATCGGAGCAATAACGAGAGGAACGCCACATCTGCTGAGACGGGCAACACATCGACTCTCATTGTATACAAAGGTGCGGATTTTCGTCAAGAGTGAACTTGTGAGAATACTATGCAGGATGAAGCGCATGTCTTTACAAGTTGACCAGGGGCCTCAACAGTCAACCCACTCTTCCTCTTCTCTTCTTCTCCCCAACAGCCTCTTGTCACTCCTCCCTAGCCGCTTCCCTGTTCTTTTCGACGCGCCCATCTTCTTCCGCTTCTGCCTGCTGAATTCTCTCGTAATCATCTTTCGTAGTTTCTGTTTCTTCACATCATAAATTCTATCACAGAGCTCTGATAACCGCTCATTGACGTCGTTGCTCAGCACATCTCCTTCTTCCTTACACCTTGTGAAAACATCCTCAATCTCGCGCCCAAGATCTTTGATAGCGTCCTCTTTTAACAGTGCAATGTCCGCTTTATGCTCCTCCATCTCATCCATCATTTCTACTGTTTCATGGGCTCGTGCATCGTACGCTTCGTTCCAGACCTCATCCAGCTTTTTATCGACAAGTTGCTCGAAACGTTGTAACTGCCGGGCCTGGTATTGCTGAAATTGCTGGGCGAGATGGACTCGGAGGTGGGGAATCCATGTCTTTCCCAGGGGTGTCAAGGGTGGTAGTTTTGGATATTTGTTGCCGAGACAATCGACAGTGAATGAAGAGGCTGGTGAGCTAATATGGGACTTAGGCGCACCAGCGAGAAGACTTTCGAGGACGTCAGGAAGGACCTTCTCAAGATACGCAGGCAGCTGTTTGCTGACTGCCGCATTGATAGCCTCGATCTGATAGTCAACTTTGGGTGACGCCTGCGCGAATTGTTTTATCAAAGCATCAGCTGCAGCCGGACTCAGCGGTACGGTAGTGTCAGAAGTGTCGGATTTAGCAGGTGATTGGGGCGCGAAGCGTTTTGGTGACTGAACGGGTGACCCCAGGCTTGCTGTGGATGTTAATCAATTGCCAGAGTTTGAACGGGGACACAACTCACCCTGCCTTGGCCGCTTACGAGGGTTATCATAAGCAGGCGGAGCCCCAATATCGTCAACAGGGCAGAAGTCCTCCCAGCTTGCCTTCCTCAGCCCTTCTTTAATGAGTATTCCATCGATTGGATAGCCAGTCAGGCCCCTCGCGGCTTTGCTGAACGCTTTGAACATACCCTGATGTTCCTTGCGCACATACTTGTAATCAAAGGCGATGTGAATCGTGGTTGCTTTGGTGAGTTCTACAAACTCACGGAAAGAAGAGTCACATCCAGGCTTGGGACTAAAAGACATGGCGGCCGGACACCAGAGGGGACATGACTGGTCCACGCCTAGGGCGAGAGTCTTGATGTCCCAATGCTTGTTGTCCTTGTTTCGCAAGAGCTCGTCCAGCTGTGGTCGCGGAATATGGCTGTTGCCGCTAGTAAGACTGACAGTACCAGATAGCAGCTTGTCAGCATCGTACTGTAGAGCGAAGAGCTGTACATCATGAGTTGTGGGAATTTTGAATACGAGCAAGACTGTCGCCTGCTTGGACGCGTCGTCACACCTAAAGATTAGAGAACATTGGCACGAAGATACAGGATCCAAGACGTTCGGTACAGGATAGGCGAGCGCCTTGAAACCACAGTTGAAAAAGTTCATATTATTAGCTATCCAAGATGCCCGTTGAACTCACCAAACCCCCTTGGACGACAAGGGAACCCACCCTCCCAGGCTTTGAAGCAGCCTTGACTTTGTATATATCGCATCCACCGCCGACACCAGGTACGCGACCCCAGCAATCAATCGAAAGCCCACCCCGCTAATGGCAGCCGACGGACGCGCAGTGCGATGCAGAGTCGCCCGCCTTTGCCACCAGCGGCCTTGTGAAGTTCGCAAGGATGATGGGCCTAAGTCGAACACTTGATACGCGCAACAAGTGAGAGCAGAAATGGAGGGATATTCGGTTTGTTGAGTATGTGTATAGGTGCTGTATAGGTGCGATGGGGGGAACCCGTTGATGAACGTTGGTGATGAAGTCGAGGGCTGGTGGCTGGGGGTTGCGCGTTGGCTTGGCAGACTGTCGTAGACCGTGCGTCGCTTACATAAGCCATTGCTTGCGGCTTGAGCGTTTCATCCGCCAAGACCTGAGCGTTAGTGCGAGGTCCGCCCGATTTGGCAAAGGTGGTAAACCGTGAGGTTGTTGGAATAATGACTATGCAGTTGTAACATGCCCCTGATATACTGAAAATTTCCTGTAGCTCTCTACTCTCATCATCTTTCATGAGAGTAAAAGGGGCTGTTATCAAAAGCCACGATGACGGTTGTTTGGCTCGTTGCGGTGACGGTGACGCCGACGGTTTCGGTGGTTCGCTCTCTTATGGCGCAGACTTCGTCTTCTTCATCCTCTTCTTCTTGGTTGTCGCCAGGCGGGAGGATGGACATGCCACCCCCGGATGTTGGATTGGGGCCTGGCGGTGGATCGGGTTTCGGGCAATTAAGTGTTGGCCATGCACAAGGAGTGACGGTTAGTTTGGGAGGACCATGAGTGACGGTTAAGTAGGGAAAGGAAATCCTGGGTGGTGGTAGGCAAATGAGGAGCTTGCGACCGCCTCCGTTGTCGCCGCCTCCGCCGCCGCCACCTCCACCTCCATCTGCAATGTTGCTATTATGGAGATCGGATTCATTAGTAGATGATTATTCTGGTCTGCTCGTACGTCGCGTGCCTGATGTAATGTATGCGATTCAATTCCAGGTAGTAGATGAGCTGATTTGAATGGTGGACCATAGGTCGAGGTCAGTCGATTATACATCGAAGCCCGTCGACAAAGTCAACGTTAGTCGAACTCCGTCGACTATATGCTGAAAGTAATCTGAGTTGGTTAACGGAGTTCGACGGACGTCGACGGACATTAACGTCATCGATTGCACATTAAAGCTAGTCCATCACGTTGAAGCTAGCCCACCACGTCGAGGCCCGTCGACAATGTCAACGTTAGTCGACGCCTGTCGAACTCCGTCGAATATACGAGGAAGTCAGTCTAATTCAACCGAATAGACTTTGAAGCTAGTCGACTGACGTCGACACTAATCGACGATACGTTGAAGCTAGTCCTCCACGTTAAAGCTAGTCGACCACGTCAAAGCCCGTAAACAACGTCGACGTCCGTTGAACTCTGTCGAACTCCGTCGAAGATATATCTGAGTCAATTGATCATGTCAAAGTTGGTCGATCGTACGTCAGAGTTGGTCAACCATGTCAAAGCCAGTCCACGTTGAAGCCCGTCGACAACGTCAACGTCAGTCGACGTCGATCGACTATACATCGACGGCAATCGGCCATACGCCGGATTCAATCGAATATAAGTCGACACCGGTTGACTATACGTTGAACCCAGTCGGCTATATGATGCCACCAAAACAGTACGAATTCGCGAAAGCTTCTTTCATGGCATAAGTCTCCACATCGTCGCCGTCTACGTAGATGTCACCCTGGTAGGCAAAATAAATCACCATATCTGTCTTATTGAAGTATGGTGTCATCCCTTCGTCTTTAATAACCCTCCTGATTTCGCGGTGTGAGGAGGCACCAAGAAATTAGTGCACGAACCAGCCATACCCTCTCAGTATCCCGGATGAAGCTGCAGCCCATCTTACCACAGCTTGGATCGGCTAATTTGTACGTACTTCCATGATATACGAGGCCCATGACCATCGTCGCGGGATCAACACCATCAAATCACAGCGGTTTAAGACTCTTCTCGATCTCAGTGATGTCGGTCTGGGGGCGCACTCTTGACCCCAGCGTCTTAGCGTCAGTGCCCCAGGAACCGTGCAAACCATAGCTCATGAATCGCGTCCAGTCAACGTATCTCTGCATCTCGGCTGGCTTGAAACCGCGCAGGTACCAATAATCAGGTGTGAGAGTAAAGCTGCCACTGTACCTTCGCCCAAACTGTTCCTTCATCTCTTTCATGAGAAGAACTAGATTATCGGTATCCTCTTTACGGCCTCCGCTCTTCGGCTCAGCGGGGTATTCCCAATCGATATCCACGCCTTGAAAGCCGTACGTGTCCATGAACTTGATGAGAGATTGGATAAAGGCTCGTCGGTTCGCTTCAGCGGGTACCATGTCACTGTGGGCATTGCATTTTAGGGTACCAGGATCGTTAAAAGACCAACCTCCAATTGCAATGCAGGTCTGGAGACCGTTGCGCTTCAGTGAGGTAGGAATCTGGTTTCCATCCATCACGGTACGTGCTGCCCATGTAAGATCCGGGCTCTCATCCCTAAAACGGAACTTGAAGGCGATAGGGGTATCCAGATCGTAATCTAACTCGTCGGAAGCTAGTCTGGATTCAAGATTTGCACACAGAAATCCGTGAACAAAACCTCGCTGGTTTTGTTCGGACCCTCAGGCGTCGGTATCGTCGCATCTGTATGCCCACAGTGCGTAATACGTTGTGTCCAGTAAGCTACTTCCCGATCCCATGATACTAACACCATCTCCTATCTAAGGTACCGGTGGAAACTCATCGCAGCTGTATTTGCGGCCAGAAGGTTTTAACTGGCCGACGCTTGGAATTGGCTTGTCTTTCTATCCTGTTTCCGAATGTCGGTCCAAGTCAATCACCCATTATAATGTGCCTTCAGGAAGTCTACGAAGGGCCAAAGAAAAAGGCATACCATTGGGACTAGGGATCACACACTCAAAACATCTGACGAACACTTGCAATACTTCGACGTCAAATACGTTATCTGTATTCACTCATAAGATTAGAACTGCGCATTGCCAAGATGAGTTATACCCTGATCAGACGTGGCTTTGTCAGGCGTGTGTTCAGACCCAGAACTAGGCTGTATTATCCCATCTGATCCAGGGCGCTCGGGTACAATCTCCTGACACTTTAACCTGCAGGATTTCAAATGATGTCGGATATCGAATTCAGCAAGTATGGTAATTTGACTATTTCAGCTTGACAAGGCGGAATCGACGGCCCTGGAACTTCCTTTCGTACTCATAAGCCTTTGTTAATGGCTGGGCCCACAGTATATCCCTGAATCTGGCATCTGCCACGTGGCGCATCATCTCGACATACGAAAGGACGTTACTATACTCTATTTCATGCGGCCAAGCGCGTTGGAAATACCACTGTGTCCCTGACCAAGGCAGTGCAGCAACCAGTCGCTGAGCTTTCTTGATTTCTTCAAAATGCTCGTTCAAGTATGCATGTATATCGGGGACAAACTGCCTAAATGTAATCGATAATCCATCTTCGTTTTGAATGATAAGTGGGGACGGAGACTGATAGCTGCTCTTCGCGGGATCACTATCGTACGAGAGGTCAAATTTATTCTCATATTCACTGCTCTCAATCTCGATACGGCTCATGCTAAGCAGGCCGAAGTCTGCATCCGCAGACGGATGATCGAAAAGCGTCTCGGTTTTCTCTTCGTTTTTAGGTCCTCAGATAATCTCGATATCGCGTAAGTCGGCCAAAAGATTCCAGCGTAGTGGAAACAGGAGGTCCATACGGGTGCAGTCGTCCACCAAAGGCATAATAGCGGCGTTATTGGGCGCGTGGGAAGTTGGGGAAGAATTATTATAGTGTCGGGCGAGAAAGTGGGCGGGTAAGCTACTATCAATCGGGGCGGAGTCTTACGCGTACATGTTGTTTTCACCCCTTGCTAAGCGTGTACCCGGGCTATGCTTAGCGCAGCCCTAAATTAGCCATTCCAGGTGCCCCCTTAGCACTAGTGGAAGAATCAACTACCTTTTTATTGATGAAGCGGCTCGGCAAGGGTGCGGCGGGAACGCCCGTAGCGGAACCCATAGTTGGCATGAATTCGTGAAAGTGCAACTTGCACAAGGGATAGTAGTCTAAGTTAGCGGATACTGTGGAAAGTCAATAAATCATTGTGGCACTGGCTATCAAACCGGATTCGGTACACGTTCCACGGTTACCACGACTTCAAAGACACCAACGCAGCCCGGCATCTCTACGGATGGACCTTATGGTGGTACGAAGGGACTGAGATGTCAGGGTAGCACTTCCGGGAATCGTTTCAGTCTAGGGGGTTACTGCGGAAGCACAGTCAATCACTGTGCACAAGGATGGTAAGTATTTCATCTCCCTCGGCACAAAAATACTGTGCTGTCGATGCTAACTTTCATACAGTCAAAAATCGTTCTCAAGCGCATGTCTGAAGACCAACGTGCCCATTTCGAATGGATTGTGCGGCGCATCGAAGGGCAGTGCTGTTCTAGCAGTGAGTTCTGTGGAACAACAGATGCTCATTGTAAAACTGGGTGCCAACAGGGTTACAGGATGCGCAAGTGAACTTGTATTGAGAACTTTGTACTGCATTCCATATAAACTTGTTCATAAATGAGGCCATGCTATCTGAATCTGCGGGAATGTTTTGTTTCCTGAATGATCAATACACTCAGGACGACATTTGTCAACGGCCTTGCAAAGGCTATCTAGCTTAGTGATCCAGGCGACACGAGCGTCTCGCCCTTAGTCCATTTATGGGTTAATGAAAATGCCACCGTTTCCCCCATTGCCAGCAAGACTGCCGGCGACCAATGCATCACCACCGTTGCCACCCTGCTTGAATATTAGCTGCATGATACGTGATATCATTTCGCCGGCACTTAGCACCCGCTTGAGGAAGAGGACTTACATTGGCAATACCAGTACCGTCTTTGCCATTTTTACCGTTCTTGCCATTTTTACCGTTCTTGCCATTTTTGCCATCTTTGCAAGCCCCATCTTCGCCATTTGAATCCCCAGAGAGACTCACGCTTCCACCTGTAGCTGACGTACCAAACCCAATAGCCGAAGTTCCAGTTATGAACTCTGGGCTGCGCTTCTTGACCGGATTTGGCTCAGGATCTCTGATGTGAATGTCAATCGACGAGCCAGGGTCCTAAACAGAATCAGTGAGTACAATAAAAACATGAAGGGAAATATGGCTCAACTACATTTCCTACGGAACCTCCCTTGGCATGGCCGTTAATGGCGATAGCAGGACCTCCAGTTACGATTGTATGGGAGCCGATTGAGAACTTGGAGTCGTCCACATTCTTGGCAGGATCACGTTTCAAATGGGGAAGCTTGAACTTGATGGGATGTCCGTCGATGACAACAGCTGGAATGCCGAGGCCGATTGAGAGTTTGGAGTCATCTACATTGGGATTGGCGGGGCTGCGTTTGTATTCAGGGACCTGTGGCGCAGGATTTGGGGTGGGTGCTCCTAGGGCAACTGCTGAAAGGAAAGAAAGGACGACGGCGGATCTCATCGTGTTGAGTTGGAAATGTAGTCAAAGAAAGACAATGTGCTTGGAGCTGTTTGATAAGAGCGGGATAAGGAGAGGAGAGGAAGTACAGAGTGAGAATGAAGGTAGAAGTAGTAGAGGCTAGTCAAAGCTCTGCTGAAAAAAACTTGGTTGAGGGAATGTCTTTGGGTTTATATACAGACTGGATGCTATATGCCTTGAGGGACTTAGCCAAATTTTCTGTCACTACAGTATTAATGGTAACTAACACTAGCAGCATCACGTCTACTGACAGTCGCCCATCACAAATGCCGCTATCCGTCACTTGTCCGTCACTTTCGCGGAATACTTGCTCTTCCACGCATAATTGCAACCATCAACCTAGCCCTCTCTCGAATATGAACAGCCTCACAACGTTCGTCATCTGGAAGGGTTCAAAACTCCTGAAGTGTCGAATACGAAACACGTCAATTATATCGTAGAGTGCATTAGAAAAGGGGTCCTAGTGTTGTAGCAAGCGTGGCAATGCGGCGCCACTACCTAGCTTAGCCACATTCGCTTTTGCCGAGGTTTGTTTCGAAACTAAAGTACTAGATCCACCTGGTAACTAAGTGGCTGAGTGAGATGTGTAATGCGTTAGTAGCGAGGCTAATGCAGACGTTCTGGAAAGTTTGCCGAATTGACCCATCGCATCCCCCACATGATACAACGTCGTGTATACCCGTATAAAAGCCGTACGAAACGCAGGAAACAGGGGGCTAGCAGTTGTGAGGGATATTGCGGGGTAGGAAGATGGAGTGGAGGCGGACCGATTCACGCGGACTGGTGAGTACTCGTATTTTCGGCATCTGAATTTTAGTGTACTAGATTCTCTCAGAGCAACGGATTAACAATCATTTTGCTGCATTTTGAAGCCGATAATTTGGAAAGATCTATTAATAACGATGGCGAACAAGATCTCGGTGCTTGCTTACACAATACTCAGGGACATATAGATGAGTTTTGTGCAACGTCGTCTCAGCTGTAGTACCTAGAACGAGGTATTTGCTTAGCCCAGTTTCGTTTCAGCTGTACTTGTAACGATACACTCGTTCAGCCCAGTTTCGTCTCAGCTATAGTACCCAGAACCCGGAACTTGACAATAAGCTTGTGCCAAGACCCGCGCTAAGAAGCTTAATTCAATGCTGTAGTTTTAGAAATGTCTCGCGAATGTCAGTGCCACGTTTTGCCCGTCTGGGAATTACTAGAAGCCATGTCCCTATAGCCCGCCGTCACTGTGGCTTCAATGCGTTAGCGTTGTAAAACGATCGGACACAGACTCTTTTTAGTTGCATACATTTGCGCCGGGCCTCGGGCCTTCCCGGTAGTGCATAGGTGCATGGTTCCTGCGACGAGTACGAAAGACAGAATATCGTGCCCGGAAGCAATGTTCGGTCTATATGCCCGCGGTACGCGCCGAATGACTGTAGTTGATCCCAGGTCTACTGGGAGTCAAGCTTCTCCAATGTAATTGTCGCTATAGAGGGTGGAATACAGGATTTGTGGATTCCGCATTGGGAGTAGGCTCATACGTTGACGCCTTACTCCAGTTTGTTTACCACAGTATATTGAACCATTCAAAGTACTTACTCAATAGGAGCCACTCGGTGAGCCTGCCGAGGTGCATCTGTTCTCCATAGCGGAATTCGTCCTATTCAATGCGCGCTCGGGTGTTCCCGGGGAATTTTGCCGATGCTGTTTGGACTCTTGTTACAAATCAACCTTAGTAGCACCGATATGCCAAGACTGTTTTACCGTTTTAGTTGCTCCAAGCAAAAGCTTAATCTAGCTAAGACTGCATTAGAAAGTCTTTGAGGCTTTAAGCTTCAATTTATGCTCTCCGTAATCTCATACAATGTTACCGTAAATGGACTAGTGACATGTTTAGTAGTGCAGTTGTTTCTCTAAGTTTAGGGTTTTCCTAAACACTACCTTGTACCGATACTCGTATTGTCATGGTATCCTCGCTTCTCACCTGACCGTCTATCAATCCATTCTACTCATGCCCGCTGTCGTGGACGTCAAAGCGGTTAGGATCGTCACGGCATGATTGTTTGGCCCAGACTCAGGTCTATCGAGACATGTCAGTATACTGTTCAAACACGCCAGCTAGAGTCTGTATACCAAGGCAGCTATCCTCTCCACACGAATATATAAATCAACGCTGATTCACTTCGATAAATCCTCACCACACATCACTCACTCTCTCATCTCCTCTCATCTTCTCTCATCTCAATCAGTCTCGACGACTACTTTCCTTCGCACAGTTAGCTGGAACTACTTTCAATTTTGATTACCATCAAACTTTCATCTCATCAACAAACATGAAGTACTCAATCATCTTTGCTATCGGCTCCGCAGCGCTGGCTGTAGCGGCTCCTGTCACTGTTGACATCAACAGCCGTGATACTACTGTCGTTACTGGCGGTACTGGCATCGGATTCGAGGGCCAAGGCCGTGGCGGCAGTGTTGCCAACGGCGGCAATGGCGGTAACAGCCGCAAGGGCAACGGTGGTGACGGTGGCGCTGGAGGCATCGCTAAACGTGATACCACTGTCGTCACTGGCGGTACTGGCATCGGCTTCGAAGGCATCGGTCGCGGTGGTAGCGTTGCCAACGGTGGTGACGGTGGTAACACTCGCAAGGGCAACGGAGGCAACGGAGGTGCTGGCGGTATCGCCAAACGCGATACTACTGTCGTTACTGGCGGCACTGGAATTGGATTCGAGGGCCGTGGACGTGGCGGCAGCGTCGCTAACGGTGGCAACGGCGGCAACAGCCGCAAGGGCAACGGTGGTGACGGCGGTGCTGGTGGCATCGGACGACGCTCGACAATCGTCACTGGCGGTACTGGAATTGGCTTCGAAGGTAGCGGTCGCGGCGGTAGCGTTGCCAACGGTGGCAATGGTGGTAACAGCCGCAAGGGCAATGGTGGTGATGGCGGTGCTGGCGGCATCGGAAGGCGTTCGACAATCGTTACCGGTGGCACTGGCATCGGATTCGAAGGCAGCGGTCGCGGCGGTAGCGTTGCCAACGGTGGCAATGGTGGTAACAGCCGCAAGGGTGATGGTGGTAGTGGCGGTGCCGGAGGGTATGTATCTCCCTCACTATAACCTTATTACAACTAACACAAAGACAGAATCGCCAAACGATCCGACTCTATTTTCTCCCTTATAGCTCGCAAGTTCACCATCATCAGCGGTGGACCTGCTATCTCTTTTGGTGGCAACGCTCACGGCGGCGATGTCGGTGATGCTGGCAACGGCGGTAACGGTGGCAGGAGAGGTGGCTCAGGCGGTAGCTCTATCATCAACACCAAGAACTAAAACATGGGGGATTTGGCTTAGATTGTTACTGAAATTTCCTTGGAGTATGATTGGTTTTATGTGGCTTCGGTGTACATAGGAGTATCGGTTTTCCAGATTACAACAAGTAGAGCTTTTGAAATCTATCCATTCTTCAAGTTGCAAGTTCATATCATCGGTCAATCTCTACCTGGCTGATGTACATATGCCAGGTGCAAGATTGGACGACGCCGCTCGCGACGGGCTGTTTCCAACCAATACCGAATTATTAAGCCATTATTATTGTATCGCAACCAGATACATAAACCATGTCCACCCTGTTTCTCTCAATGTCATCGCATTGGCCTTCGGAAGTCTTGTCTCGTTGGTCTCGCGCTCGTCCTGAAGCATCCATGGACGAAGGGTCAATATTTTTAGCAGTTGAGCGTAGTATAGGGAGTTACATCTCGAGACCCCTCTCGAATGGTGTAGTAAGTTACAAGCAGAACATTAGCTTCACTATACACCTAGACCGATCGACGGAGAATGTTCAGCCACCCTCCGACCGCCCTCCGACCGGACGAAACACGGATCAAATGGCAGCGCCACATTCACCTAGTGGAAACTCGATTCAAGCCACTTAGCCTAAACACGAACAATCATTTGCTGTGCTACATGGCAGAATTAATGTAGTATGTGGGCCCGCTAGTAAGGGGACGATGCAGGCCGGGGTAGAGAGTAAGAGCTATACTGTAAAGGGTAGGATCTATACTATATACAGTGTAGCCTCTATCGGAGCAAGTAACATTATCATAACGTTAAGGATCAGTCATCCGGCCAGATCAGTCATCCGGCCACCCCACCCAACTTGACCCAACGCTCTACA